GGACGATTAGCAACATTTTCTGTTACTGCTTCATCCCAAGGTAGAGGTATAAAACACCAATACATAGGATTACAATCAAGAAATGAACGAAGTGCTTCTGGACAACGAGCTGCATGTTGATAGAGACGCATTTGATTAAACATTTCTTTTCTACAACAATGAAAAAGAAAACAATGAATATGTAGCATAATTGAAAGAATGATCGAATGTCTTTTATTACTCTCTTTCATTAGGATCGATTTGTGATCCTCGAAATAGACGACTACCAGTTAATTTTTCATGTACAATTCGATTGCCATGTTCTCGATGATCTGTAATATTATAAGAAAAAGAAGAAGAGAAATAAAGGCATGCTCATGATTATCGTAAGAAAATTTATATTTACAAGCCATAGCATCAGCCAATGTTTTTGCTGTTGAATCAACATAATCATAATGACCACATGGACATGTCATGGCATAAATTATATTCGATGTAGTACATGTCTAAATTTTAGTCATAGTCGATCGGTATAAAATTCAACATTTAAGGACAACATACTGCTGGACAATTGAGATAGGTAGTATAACCATTGAGAAATCGATGCATTGAACTTGAAGCAAAATTAACAATTGGCCATGGTTGACTTTTCTTGTAAGTATTTAATGGAAGACAACATTGACAAAAAAGATTATCACATGGATCCAATGAATATCTTGCTTGAGGTTCATCTCTTCCACAAAATAGACCTTCTATATTAGATGGAGGTTGAGCTCCTCGAAACGAACAAGTTTTCATATAGAATAAATCCACTAAAAGATATGAAACATATATGCATCATATGTATGTATAGACATGAAGACTAACCATCAATTTGTAAATAGAATTCCAATGCCATAGCCATTTGTTTCGATTGAGTGTTGGTTCTTTTAGAGCAACATCACTCTTACATAGAACATATCGTCGAAATGATTCATGGAATGCAAGAAGAGTATGACAGATGCTACGAAGTCGTTGTGCATTGAAAATAATAATTGATTTGCCTATTTGTAATCGTGAAGCTAATTCATTAGCATCGTGTTCAGATAAACTAAATTCATCGGAATAAGTGTACTTATTCATCAGCATCAGTGCATCGAAAGTATAAGCTCCATATTGACGTTGATTAATTTGATGAGGTGCAAGACGACTAACTAAAAGACAATGAAATGAAATGATTTATAATCAATTTTGTATCGAACATACGAACCTGGTACATTAGCCAAAAGTAAACACTCATTTGGACCAACATATTGTGTTGGAAATATAGGTAAATAAGCGTATCGTCCATTATTTTTATCTAATAATGTTCTTGATTGATATTCTTGTTGTTCATTAGTAATTAACAAAGAAGTAGCTTGTTCTGCTCGAGTTAAATCAATTGTATTGAAATCCATATGCAATAGAAAATATTTTGAATTTTTGCTATTCTTTCTTATTTTATACTGACTATATGTTTGTTTTTTGCGTCAAGATTCTATCTGAAAGAGAGAAGGATATGAATGAAAAAAAGTTTTTGTTTTTCCTATCTAATTTCTTTTTTTATATGATTAAGAGCGAAGATTGTATCTAAAATAGTAAGATAAAATAAGCTCGATATAAAAGAAGTTTACTTGATTTGTATTAGGATCTTGAGCAAAATAAGTGTGTTGAAATATTAAATTGGTATAATGATATTGAACCGTGGCAATATATTCATTGATTTCAATATGTAAAGATTAAAGTCCTTGTTGTACAAATTTTTCAATAGTATATTCCATGCTAAAGTTATAACCAGATAAACGAGTGGTCTTGACATTTAATTCGTGTCGATAATGTTCCTTTTTATTGTACAATTCTTGTAAACATTGATTGGCAAAAATTAAACAACTACTTTCATCAATAATATTATCATTTTTTAACTTTTTCATGAGTGATGAAACTTCTTTTGGCCAAAATTTCGCATCAGATACATTGATTGGTCGCTTCGATTGTATTTCTTCCATACCATATTTTCGGTAGACTATCCAGAGAGATTGTACTATGTCAATCGACATAATTTTATGCATGAGAATAGCAATATCTCTTAGTTCATCTAAATTCATCGTTGATGATAATACGGTTCCAAGTTTCTTTTCAAAAGATGGATTTTTTGGACAAAGATAGTCGGGTATAGATTGCTATTCACTACCAATTGTTTTCGAAAGAATGATTTCTATAGGAAATCTTGTTATTTGTTTTTTCGTTGAATTGATTTTGAAAGGTGAAAATTGGCCAAGCTCTTGTGATAGGACTTGTTCATTGACTATCTAAGAAGAAAATCATTGTTCATAGAATAGAAAGATCTTTGTTATTCTTCTGTCTTACTTTTGCGTCAGAAACTGTACTACGACGGGCAATAGTTTTAGTAGAATTGAGATTTGATGTTGTCATTGCCATTTGAAATTGAATGGGATACAACAAAACAAAGATAGAATTCTGAAAGTGAGATCTAGAAGAAAAAAGAAAAGCAAAACATCAGAAGATAAATTTGTTTACTACTCGAAAAACAAACTATGAAACATGACACAAAAAAAGAAATGAATGAAGTGTTACAATAGAACTACATTCTACAATATTGATTAAAATGAACAATCGAGAATGCTAGAGTCAGTAAAATCTATAATAAGGGATAGATCGTTATTCTTGAGACGAAGCATGAATAAATTTTATAATTTGTTGAGCACGTTGTTCGATATTATTGAGACGAGCTTGGATAATTGCACGCATTGAAGGAGAAAAGCATTTCATAGATGATAATTGATTCTTTTGATCATTACCATCAATGTCGAATTCATTTTGTTTCATATTTGTTATTGAATGATTACCTGGAATTATTCCTTTAACCATAACTTGATTACTCCTTGACCAACGTTTCTTTTGTTGACTAATAACCTTCTCACATGCTCGTAATTTTGATTGCCAAATTTGTTGAGCAGAATAAACCTATGAGAAGAAGAATAAGAGAAAGTTAGGCTAAATAAAACATTCACCTGTTCTTCTATTGGATTTAAATCATAGAATGATTTGACAAGATGTGCATCATGAATATCATACGTAAATAAGATTTTCTTCTGTTCAAAATTTGTATTGAAATGATGCAAACCATTTTGCATGAGAACAACAAGAGCATTGCATATGATATTCATCCATTGTTAAAAAGATATTGTATCATCGTTCATTTTTAAATTTGATGAATATCGTTGTAAATAATTGTATAAATTAATTTCTAGTCGTTGTAATTTATTTCGAATGAGATTTTGTTGATATTGAATATTTAGTTTTGTTTTCGAATGATCCCAATTAATGGATTTTTTTTCTGTTACATCTTTCGATACTTCTGATAACCAAGTTACAACAGGCATGTTTAAATTGCCAATGTAGTACCAATAGTCCTCTTCGATTTTCAATTGAAAGGAAGTACACATGAATATAGCAAGTTGTTGTGAGAATTGTAACATATCAGTATTTGCTAACCATTGTTGAATCTGATAATGATCCGTTGGAATAGTTTTGCAGAGTAAACGTTTGAATTCATGAGAAGACAAGATCTTATAATTTGGTAAGAGTTTGCATGTCAGTTTCCAATCATCTGTAGGTAAATCGTAATAGTTTTTCATTTTTCTTATGTGTTCTTGTAGGTGATGAATTATTGCCTTGATTCTATACAAAAGAAAAACATCGTGTTTGTTTTTATTCATCATTTGATCGTACTTGGTTTCCATAGAAGATGGACACTTGAATATCCTTATTAGCATTTCTGACCAAAAAATCATCCATCATTTTATCGTGGTCTGTTTCCCGATGAGTTTGATGAATGGAATTATTGATTTGATGCATTGTCAATAACATTTTTACGGTTTGATCGTTCATTCCTTGTGCTCGACATTTCCTTCTATAGCGTTGGAGTCGCCGATTACCACAGGACTTTTTCTTCTTCTTTAGTTCCTTCTTGTTGTTCTCGAAGTTTTGCTTTTGTTCAATGAGTACATGTATTTGTGAAACTGGTTCATACCAACCAGCTTGAGCATTTGAACCTGACATTTTGATTGAACCTTTATTACAGTCTATATCATCAATAAATATTTCTATCTAGAAAACAAAAAACTTATTAGCGAAGCCTCAATGAGGCTGAGATGTGAAACTTAAGTATGTTTTCTAGCCTCGCTAAGCTAATACAAAATATGTAGAGCGAACAATTTCTAGTTCATTACTATATAAAGTAAGAAACATAGTGAATATATGAGATAGAAAACAACATTTTTCTCATACTCTCTAAAGAAAAAAGCAACTAGAAGAAATACAACAACAAAAAAACAATCACTTTAATGATCATAATAACGAATTTTTCAAAGTGAGTAAGACAATAGGAGTGATAGTTCAGAATGTATTAAAATTTTATAGTAATATATTATTGACAAAAAAGTTTAACTATACTAAGAACATAACAATAAGACACATGCAGAAAAAAAAAGAAGAATAAAATGACATGTATAAATTGCAATAGATGATTAAAAATCAAGCATTAGAAATATCTAAATGTATAGAAATATAAAGAAATAAATATTTAAAATTGACTACTCTCACTTCATAGATATGTATTATTTGATCGAGCCAAGAGAGTATTCGATGAATAACAATGTTTAGTATTAAGTTTGATTTTTAATCTATATTTTTTAAACTCTGGATCTTGCTCGAGAATTGTAGACCAATATTGATAAAACTTTTTATTGAATTGACATCTTGAACCCCAATCAAAAAGATAATGTAATTGAATTAATTGATGATTCTTTTGTAGTTGTTGTTCTTCGAATAGATCACGTTTTTGTTGATCGATACAACGAAATAATTCATTACGAAATGAAAGATATGTAGATCGGTTCACATTCATTGGTTTTTGTTCATTTGGATTAAATCTTGTCAAGAATCGTTTGATATGATACTTGATAAAATCTAATAAATACCCATTAGCCAGAAATGTTAGTTCAATATAAAGTCGTTCGTCTTCAAAATCTTCGAACGAACTACAATATTGACCAGCACGTATAAGAGCAGCTCGAAACCATTGTCGATGAAATAATCGTGGATGACTATGCTCATAAGGTAATAAAAATGGTTGAATTGTTGAATCATGATGCACATGAGTATGTAAAGATCCTTTTCGATTTTCAATAGCAGCATGAAGAAAATGAACATCACTACTAATAAATGTTGTCATTTGAAGATTCGAATCTAGTTCTTGTTCAAGTTTATTGAATAATGTTTGCAATTGATCAATCGGACTATTCCATGTTAACAAACCTGTATCTTTATATCGACCATAGAATGCATCTTTCAAACAAATATGTGTAACTAATGAATATTGCCAATGATGCATATAAATATGACATAATAATTCTGTTAATGGTAAATTTAATGGACATCCTTTAATAAATCGATAGATTTTTCCATTGTAAGAGAAAACATTATTTCGTAAGACTATTGCAGTTAATTCTTGAATAGCATCACTTGATAATTTTTGATGTTGACCATTGACAAGTGGATTCACTAGAAATATATTTAATGCTTCAAGAAGAGCCGAATGTGATATCTTCATATATAAATCATGAATTTTAAATGTTGCAAAATATGTTTTCGGTAGAAGAAGATCTAGTTGTATACAATAATATTGTAGTTTTTGTATAAAATCACCACCATTAAGAAATGTTGTTGATCGTGAAAAATTATCAAATAATGGTCGAAGAAGTTGATTAAGATAAGTAGCTAGAGTATATATTGGACAATGCTGACATGATGATAGTCGTGGTTGTACTGACATATGAACATTTTCATTCGTTTCTGGTAAGAAATAAAGATATGGAAGGTTGATATTTGTTTTTTTGCCAATACTTAATCTGATTAAATGATCTTCTTTAATCAATTTTCTTTGATATAATATTTCCAGTTGTAAATCAATAGATTGAATAATTTCTTCTAATTGTTGTTGTTCTGTATTAATTTCATTAATTGTTTCAATCAGTTCGTAACAAGTTGAATTCTGAATATATTCATTCGATTTTTGATTAAATTCATTCAATCGACCAAGATAATATGTATTCATCTCATCAGCGGTTCGCCGTAGAATCAATTGATCTTTATTTAATTGATATCTAATTGATAGAATGAGTTGTTTTTCATAGAGTGCACGCTCTTCAACTACAGAAGGTATAGGTTGAAGAAATGATTTATTGAATAATTGTTCAATCCCGTTTTCAAAATGCATTTGACGAGAGAGATCGATTGGATATTTGATGAAAAGTTTTGCAAGTTCTCGTTGAAGTGGTGCCATTTGTTTCGTAACGATTTGAGCCAGTACTAAAGAAGATTTTGATAAAATATGTATTTGACATGGTGGAGCATAGGTTGGTCCACGATTAAGAAATGTAACTTGTTCCTGTGATAGATGATGTCGTGTGTCTTGAACTATTGATGGTGAACAAGTAATATTTGATTTTTGGATAGGAATGCTCCGACGATCGATCCAATCTAATTCTTGACCGCCGGAGCTTTGACGAAAAAACGTAGTTTTAATTTGTAAAGACATATAAGACGTTCATTAATATTCTGAAAACGTCGTTCCATAATATTCAACATTGTTTGAGTTAATTTTTTATGTGATGAGTCAGAAGATTGATTTTCTTTCATTTTAGCCAAGTCTGTATCGAATTTCTTTTCATATTCATTCATTTTTGCTTCGGCTGTTGTAATATAAATCATCATCATTTCGGATTTCGTTCGTTGTAAAATTTTCTCACATCGATTCTGTAAATGTTGACGAGTCATCGTATCAGTAATTGTATCGAATGATATGGGTGGAGGTATTT